AGGCGGACAGACACGCGGACAGCAAAGCCGGAGCCTCCCTCAAACACCCCCAGGCCTTAGGGCGCCCTCAGGAGACAGGATGGAGCAGGCTGAGGTGCCCCCTCTCTGGGAAGCCCTCCGTCTTCTGCCTGGCTGTGATGTTTTCACGAGCAACGTGTCCGCACACCAGACCTGTCAATAAAGCCTGACCTGAGTTTCGAGCCTCTAGCCCAGCGGTTCTCAATGGGAGGCCGGGGGGATTTTCCTCCAGGGGACAGTTGGGGATGTCTGGAGACATTTGTGTTTATCAGGACTGGGGTCGTGCCACTGCATCGAGTGGGTAAAAGGCAGGGATGCTGCTAAACCCTCCAGTGCACAGGACACACTCCCTACACACACACACTGAAGATCACCCAGCCGGAAAGGTCACTAGTGCCAGGGTCCAGCCCAACACCTTCCCATAAACCAAGGCACTGAGGCCCAAGGAGCACGGTGATTTGCCCCGAAGCGTGCTGCTGGACAACGCGGGAGTGGGAGAGACCACCACTGTGCCCACCTGCCATGAGATGCTTTTCAAGTCGCACAGATGTTTCATTGACAAGGATACGTAATTATACATCCTTGAAGAGCTGCAAACAAGTTCCCTGGCCTAAGTTCACTCAAGTGCTTTAGGATGTCTCTTAGTCTTAGAAATGAGCTGTTTCCATGGTTTCTCAGAAAACAGTGCCAGAGGAGGAAGAAGGAGCAGATCTAACTCCACTGTGACGAGGGCTCCTGGCCGGCTACGGAGCTCCTCTGCACCCCCGTTTTAGAACTGTGGTCAGCCAAGGCCTACAGACAGCACAGGACACACAGACAGCCACCACGCTACCCAGGCCCTCAGCCTCATCACAGGGGAGGGACTTACCAAAACAATGGCCCAGAAAAAAAATAAAATCTGAAAACTATACTTATACTCACTAGTAGAGTTTTTCTGAAGCTAGAGCTCTCCGGGCCAAAATTCCTTTGTACTCATCCTTGGGCTTTGCTTGACTTTCTTTTTAAGAACCCAAAAGCGATGTGGGAAGGAAAATGGACTCCCCACTATGGCCGGGCCGCCTGGGATCCGACTGCAGCCAGGGGTGAACTCGCAGCCCTTTCATATGCCCAGATGTTAGGATCACAGAACCACGGAGGCTGCTGTCCTCACACCCTGACTGGTCCCGCAGATGGAGGAAGGGGTGAGCATTGCAGGTGACGAGGAAGTGAGTTCCCTGCTGGTCTTCGCCCGCCCCTCTCAGAGTGGGACTAAACAAGGACCCAGCGCTTACCAAGGTTTTCTCCTCTCACCAGTAACACAGACTCTCTGCTCTCATGGAGCCCTGGCAAGTCCTATACCAGTAAGTGCCCAGGTGCAGGCAGGAATGGGCGTCGGACGAGAAGAATCCACGGACGAGAAAAGACCCAATGTACACACATAACAAAACCAAAAAAAGCCATTTTATTGAAAATTAAATTCAAACTTCAAATTAATATTACAATCATGAGAAAAATGCCAAATAATTCAATTTACAGTTGCAACATACAATACAAATAGTCCCTTTGAAGTTAAGAGTAAACTCATCCACAATCATGACCTGTGGCACAAAGCAGAATTTGTACAATATGTGCATGGAAAGCAAATCTTGGGCAACAGCGATTGGAAAAAATAAAAATGAAAAGCTTGTATTTACACAAAATGCTACAAATATTTTCTTCCACAGAAATCTAAGAACGGTAAAGCATATCCAAAAAAAAAAAAAATGGAATTTTATTCAGAATACCTAAGAAATTACTGTAAGTTATGGTTTTGGCTGATATATTTCAAAGTACTGCAGTAAAAAGCAAACAGTTATTTGTAAACATGAAGTAAACACACATCTAAAAAATTCTCACATAGAAAATATTTTTCAAATGCATTATCTTTTTTAAGAAAAACAAATTCAAGGTTTGGAAGAGTCATCCTTTATTTATTGTATTCATTGTTGTTCTTTCGTGTATCGTAGATATTATTGTTTTTGCTAATGCTTTGTGTCTCCATGTATTAACCTAGACTCTGCGCCAGTCCCCTTCCTGGGAAGAGGGGGCTCTGTAAGCCAGCAAGCAATTCTTCTCCCGTCTGAGCGGACGGCCCCTGGCCGTGTGGGTTTCTCTGCTCATTTTTTAAAGGCTCTGGTGGGGTGAGACCGTCTAAGGAGCAAACAATAGCTAATCTGTTGAGTCTCCCAACTCCGGGCTGGATGTCATTTCACAATCTAAAGACAAAGTTGTGGTACCTGTTCTGGGACTCTGGCATAAGTTAAAGTTTTTGAAACAACTGAAACAGATTAAAAAAAAAAAAAAAAAAGTGACTGCTGGTCACGCCGCACACTCCAGCAATGTTTATGCTACGAGAACCATGCTCTTTGGACCTGGAGGAAACATGCTGGCTGGTGTGTGGTTCCAGAGTAGCAGTAAGGCTCCGCTTTGGTCTCAAAAGCACAAACCATACACGTGACCCAGTGCACATTAAGGGTTCGGTTTAAAAAAAAAAAAAAAAGATAAAAGAAAAATTTAACCCCAGGCCAAAAAAGGGCAGAATTTGATCTAAAAATGTGAATTACCCCATTGGAGTGGTCGGAGTGAGGGTGGAAGGATGAAGTGCTTGAATTTTTCCCAAGAAAAAAAAAAATTTAAGTGTTTCTGGGTTGCTGCCTGCAGCCACTATAATAACATTTCAACACAAAAGCATCCCTAAGGTCACTTAGTATGTGTACTGTAAACTTAAAAAAGCCCTTTTAACATTAGAAAATAATGTACAAATATAGTACCTTTTTTTATTAAATAGGGTACAGCTGGCACTGGCGGTAACATTTTCATGTCAATTAATTAAAATTGAAATGTGTAACCAGACACTGGCTTCTTTAAGTGCTGCTGAAACAAACACACACATTTTACACTTACAAATAAATGGACAGTGGCGTGCTTCAAGCTACCACACACAAACAATAAATAGTATCAATTACTACTTCCATCTTATTTAAGTAATAGAAAAGTGGCTTCTTTATCTAAGCATACTTGGTATACAACCTTTGGAAGGCAAAGTGTTCTGTTTTGGTTTGGTTTCCTCTCAATTTTTATTAGGAGGAGTCAGGATGAATTCCAAGGGGGACTCCCCGGCAAGAAGCACAGGTCCAGAGCCGGGCAATGTCCTGCGACACTTGGCGGCTTAGGAGGGTGGGCTTGAGAATCACTAGAGAGAGCCAGGGACCTCTGGGCACTGGAGGCCAATCTCTACCAAGTTCTGCTAAAGGGCACAGAATTCAAATGATGGGGCCCTGACCTGTGGGGATTTGCCTGGTGGTGTCTTTAAATGATCCTGACTTGGATGAAAGATTCACACTTGAGAATTCGCCATGTGGCCACCGGGAGTGGTCAAAGTGCATCCTACAGGAGGGCTTTAGCTCAAGTTCATCGACAGTAGTAGACACCAAACGCCACATAATTTTGCCTGCCCTAACCCTCCACTGTGAGAAATCCAAGTGTCTAAGGCTGTATGTGGGACCCCACAGGCTGTAAGTTCTCTTCCATCCGCAGTCTGCTGGAGCCTGGCCTGCTACTTCGGAAAACCCTGCTCCCCTAAGACAATGACTTAATTCTGCTCTTTTACATGCAAATTCTGTGGAGAGGTGCCAGTGGGGCCTTGGGTGGGCAGACTGGGGTTCCCCTGACCCACAGCTCGATAAGGCGGGTTGGTTAGGAATCTCTGGTGCAATTCGCTTCCCTGTGCTCTGTGTATCATTGGTGCGCCTTTGCCACAGGTGTGGCTTCGGGCTCACTGTCTTCACCAGCAGCCTGGCGATTTAGAGTTCTGCTGTGAAACCACAGAACGTTTTTCTGCAGTTCAGTGATTCTCTTGTGCTTGTCTTTTTTAATATGACAAGAGTCATCGTTATTTGAAAGAAATGAGAAAACCACATCACTCCAGCATTTCATGCTGATAAAGGGCAACCTAAGGGATAAGGGGCTAAGAGTTGGTTTTTAAATCCCTAATTATTGCTTCAAAAGGCAAAGCTGTGCTAGAGGCAAAGATCTGAAAGAACTAAACCTAACATTTCCTTCATACATCACAAAAACAAGCTACGTCTAAAATATTTGGAAATGGAAGTACTTTTTAAAAATCACATTGTGCCTGGATGAACTGAAATTGCTTAGCAATATTTCAGGTATGGCTCTAGCCCACTGAAGAAATTTGTTATTTAATAAAGAGCACTTTTAGAGACCGAAGTCAACATATCAATACACTAAGAAATGTTTCAAGGGTCCAAATGTCATTAAATAATTATAAATATATCTTTAAAGTTATATGACCATTCACTTAGCAAGTTACCTCAGATTTTACACATATTCATAATTTAAAAAAAAAAAACAATAACACACAGCCAACACAAACACTATCTATACCATTATGGCTATAATAAGGTATTGCCATTTTCAGTTTTGCATAAAAGGAGGAGAGGGGTTTCAGGATGGTACTTCTTTTTGGTAAAATGGGAAAGGGTTGGGGGGAAAAAAGTGTAAAAAAAGTAAAATAAAATAACCTTTCCTGATCTGTATTTTTGAAGTCACTTTCTTAAAGTAGGAAAAACAAAAACAAAAACAAAAACTGAACCAAACAGTTCAAATGAGTGCTTGCAGCAAGTCTGGAGGCCGGCGGGCAGGGCCAGGGCCATGGAAGCCCCTTCCCCCGCTTCCCTCCCCGCGCACCAGCCTTGCAAGCCAGCCTGCAGGGCGCCGCTCACAGCTGCAGCAGAGGGTGTGTGGTTTCAGAGCGCAGAGAGGAAGCGGCTCTGCTCTTCTTCCTCCTGAACCTGGAGTCCACCTCTCTGAACTGGCATATGAACAGGTTATTTATAACAGACCAAACAACAGCAACAAAAATACCTTTTTCCTTTGTTTTTAAAAATACGTGTGTGTGTGTGTGTGTGTGTGTGTGTTTTCTTTCTATTTATAGAAAAATAGATAGACAACAACCTGAAACCTGATCATGATTGTCTCTCTCGGGCCTCTGCTTCTCGATAGCTACCCTCTTATGGTTGCAAGAGCACGACTGGGTGAGTGAAAACTCTTCTAAGAAATAGGCACTTTGTAGACAGCTAATTGATATACATATATACGCACTCTCTCTATATATGTATATATTGATACATTTGGGGTGTGGCCCCCAGATACCGCTGGGCCACTGCTGAGGAATTTCAATATGGTCGCCAAACAGATTCATCCATTCTGCCACTAGAATTCAAAACAGTTGGGGAACTGCTGTGGCTTCCATCAGCGTCAACACCATCATTCTGGTTGGGCAAATTGGGATTTAAAAGCGTGCTGCCATTCGAGGTGGTGGTGCATGGCGGAAGCATTCTGGAAGGAGAGCGGTCTCCCCCCGGCACCATGGGGAACTGATAGGATCCTGACGAAGTGCCATAGTAGAGATATGGAGTGCTGCTGGTCTGGAAGGGTCCACTCTGGCTTTGGGAGGAGCCGGGGTAGGGTGGTGGCAGGTAGGTGTGGTAGTGAGTGGTGGCGGACATGCCGAGGGACATGCCTGAGGTGACTGGCGGGGTGTAAGTAAAGGTGGCTGGATAGTGCATTCGTGGGTTGGAGAAGCGGCTCTCAGTGAGGGATGAAATGCTTGGGAACTGCCTGGGGTCTGAAAAAGGGCCCAGTTCTGACGCACCTAAAAATTACAACAGAAGACGGGGGGAAAAATCTGTAAATATCAGTTAAAATAATGATAGAATTTTTACAAGAAAAAAAGAAAACTTTAGCTTCCCAAAAAGGAACAGCAAGCCACAAACAGATCTTCAAATGCACCGGTCACTAGTCTTTTTTCTTCCACTTGACAGTCTTAGCAGCGTTCATGCTTAAGCTCCTCGCCCCCAGAGAACCCCCAAGGGCTTTGAAAGCCCCAGTGTGTGCTGGGTCGTATGTGCAGACCGACCCAGCACTCTTCATATACATTCACTCACCAGACTTTAACATGGACTCTTCATTGATTTTTTTTTCCTCTCTTTTTCTCGTTGCACCTCAGATGTTTGAAAGTGACATTTTTACTAAGGCAGACTAGCTTCCTTTTTTTCAATAGAATATAAAGAAATTCCAAAATGATCAGTTTTGTTATTGGTACCCTTGGGGGGCCCCCTTCCTCCGTGAAGGAACTTTCAAAAGACACCCTAACGTGTTCCTATCACTTCTTTTCAACTTGTGAAATCATTTAAAATCTTCTTCATCTTAGTAACAGATTTCAAAAGAATTATCAAACCAGACTGCAATCAAAGAAGATTTCCATGTATTCTGAACTATATTACTTATCTGGGGGCACACAGGGGGAGCCTAGCCCTTAGAAATTCTCCCCAGGGTCATAAACTGAGTAAGCAGGCTTTAAAGAGGCATTTCAAGCCTTGATAGAGACACAAGGACCTGATTTAGGCCAGGTGCCGACAGTAGCTTTGGTGAAAGGCCCTTTGTGCAGGGGAGAGGTGAGGAGGGCACCTCCCCGTCCATTTACAGGCCCCTGTACCACTTCCTACAGAATTTGCTGCAGGCTAATTTGAACAGATAACATAGGGGCAAAGATGGTTTCCCCCTGAAATGTAAAGTCCTTTAGCTTCTAAAGCCAACAGTGTGCTTGCTTAATAGATACTTCTGGTGCTTAACTTTAAGAAACCACAGTTATAAACCACTTCATGTGGAAATTAGTTTTCAAAGATCGGGTTATGATTTTCTAAAATGGACAGAATTGTGACAAGCCCGTTTAGGATACCAGTGTTCTTAAGGTTTTGACCACATATAAAATCTTCCAATTCTTTGGATCTCACATATTTGCTTCTCTGATAGCTGTGATCTATAAGGGAAAGCATTAGCAACCCTGAAGGCCTTGGGGAGGAGGTGCTTCTTCGGCCCCACTTTTACTTAGCACTTGTTCTTAGACGCTACAATACTTACTGAAGGAGCAACCCTGACACTTTTCTTTCACGGTGCTGATTGAGAGGTGTTCGTTTTTGTTCGAGTGTACACTGCCTGTGATCTTCATGACAGGCCAGGGCTAAGAGCCACGGTGTGCATTTGTAATAAAATGTGACTACTGAAAGCAATGTATAGTTAACCAAAGTCTTTCTCACCAACCGGACAGTAGCAATCAGGCAGCCCCACCCAGCCCGGCCCAGCAATTGTCAAAAGTCTCACCTGCCTGGCTCTTCTTACTGAGAGGGGAAGGCCAGAGGCAGAAGTCAGAGGTGGCAGTGTCATCATCTGCAAAATGAGGGGGATGAGCTCTAAGTTCCCTTCGGGCTCTAAATTCTATCACCGTGAATTCCAGGACAGAGGGAGAAGCAATCGCCTGAGGGGAGGGGGCGGCAGAGAAGTTCCCACCCCCTCTTTAGTCCTTTCCCGCAATCCGCAGGCCCAGAAGCGGAGGTAAAAAGCTAGTGAGTAGCTTCTAATACCAGAAGCACTTTCAAGATGACAAACCAAAACTAACAGTCTGGGCAGTTACGCTGCTTTTTATACATTCTTCACCCTCACTCAACTGACCTCCACCTAACCCCTCCCAAATCCGAAATTCTGACAAGCTCAAGTTTAAAATCTCGAAGTAGCCATTATGTCAGAATGGCAAAGGAGGGCAGATGAAATGTAACGTCTCCCCGCCCGTGCCTTACAGGATGCAGGCACAACATGGAGGCCACAGATGTCCCCTGGCCCGCCTTTTCCCTGCAGGGCACCTCGGTGAGCCTCCGTTGGCAGAGCTAATAGTTACAGGCAGGCCACTTCTGTACACATTAAGTTCAACGCTCAGATCATGTGAAAGAAACCAGAATACTGTGAGCAATTTCAAACAGAAAGAAGTCACATTTAAAACATCAGTGTTTGCCCCCGACAGAAGCAAACAGCTCCCACAGATAGTCTTGCCAATGTGAAAAATGCTTTTCATGGGTATTTGTGCTTAAAATGTACTGTAGTCATAATTAAAATTCCATGTGGTTTCCCTTATTTTGATGCAGAAGCCTCATTAAATCCCTTTATGTGGGGCCCTGCCAGTAAACTCCAATATGGTTTTGAATTTATCCCTCCACCTTCTCTATTTTACCTGATACATTTTGCTGATGTTTTTATTATCCATAACATGCCAGGATCGCTGTGCTTTTTTAGTTTATAGATCCAGCCAATGCAAACTGACATTCAGTTTTCAATTAATAAGCTCTGGTTGTGGTTTAGAGAAAACAATGCAACAAATTTCTGCTAGGTTTACAGAATTCTGACCAATCATTTTCGGTCACTTGACACTGTAAGGTCTTGAGGAGTAACTCCTTCTGGGCAAAGAGCGTTAATGCGAACATTAAAGAAATTATACCATAATTTTTATAACTTACAAACGATAGAATTTTTTGGAATCTGCTTAGTCATTTTGTGTTAACAAGGAATGTTTCTGAAACATACTGCAATGTGTTCTGTATGAAGAATATTAACAACTTGCTACAGTATTACATGAGATCCCTGATGTCAGCCATTTCAGCCTGTGGGCTGTAAAATATTTTAAAACATGCAATACCTGACTATTATTAAGAGGCACTGACCTCTTTTCCCCTAGATTCTCAAATTTAAAAAATGACAACAGTCAACACTACAACAGCAGTCTAGTGCGAATGAATCAAAATTATATTGTTTTGGGGGTCAGACTGGCAAAAACTATACTTTCTGGTGTGCTGCAGAATTTTAGTAATTGGTTTATGTGTGCCATAGATGAAAAGGTTGAACATGGCTGCCTTATATGATAATCTATGATGGGGAGATGGAAAGAACATAAACCCCTTCCTAATATTCAATTTATTTATAACTGTTGCAGAAGCAAATTAAGTTTTCTTTCATTGAGTAGGGTTGTATCTATAGTTCTTACTTCTGTTTTGTAGATGAAGTCGGGTTTTCTTTTAGACTGCCTTCTTGGGTTATTTTGACACTGTGTCCAAAATTATTCATTCCTGTTGTCACTAGCCACATTACAACTACAAATTTTAAAAACAGACCTAGATATTATATCAACTAAAGTAAAGAAAATGTGATATTTATTAAAAGGGTCAAGATGAAAGACTGGAGAGTTCAAAAAGTACTATTACCCCAATCTAATTTCATACACGCAAAACCAAAGCTCAGTAACTGCCCCAGTGATGTGCCTTGTAGCCTCCGAGCTTCCCAGAGACGGTTTAAAACTCCTGACTACAACCTCCTGATTAAATAAAGCCAGGACTGCCAGAAGTTTCTTGAAGCCTATGATAAACATGGTGCACCTTCCCGATGGGCTGGTTTTACTCCACTTGGAGTCAGGCTACACTGCACAGCAAACATGGATATGATATGGAGCAAATGCAACGCTTGGGTGAATTTTAGACAAACAAGAAAATGACTTTTAACAAAACTTTGCACTTGGGGAACTTTAGGCTATGCCTCCAGATCTCCTAAGGCACCCACATACCTTCCTCTGCTAGTTGGGGTGCTCTGATGGAAAAATCCAAACCCCTCATCTACTGTCTAGATAATCCTAAACTAAACTATTGATAACTAGGAAAGGGGGGGGGTGTCCAGAGTAGGGGAGCCATTTGCTCTACGAAATCATGCAGCTTAAGAGAGGTTGAGCCACAAACCAGACAGACCTCTTTAACTTCTGACCTCTCTGCAATCTTAGTTACCCTGAAGAAATTTGGTTGACACAATCACAGATATATATATTTCCTGCCTTAAATGTCTACTTGCCTAAGTACATTTGCCTGAAAATATTTAAGTAAGTTCTTCTGGTGCCTACATGTTGCCCCAGTGAGAGTCACCGTCTTTGGGATGCTATTAAGAACTCTGTTAGATCTTGTTGTTGATCTAACCTACTAAAGTAGGGAGCAATTAGTTCAGTTGTTCATGGCATAATGTGAATGAGATCAAGGTCAAGGGTTTGATTCCCTGAGGTCCTGCTGGTTTCCCACAGATGCATTTCATTCCAGACCTGCTACCTGCACCCCTAGCCACGGCCAGACAGCTTGCAAATGAATGTAGCTGTCACGTGCACAGATGCAAACACTTCGCTCACTGACACGGCGACAGCAGCGGAAGCTTTTCAGAACCTCGTATACACAGGGAAGGCTCTATCAATAAAATGCCCATGAAGCACAAGTAAATATAAAATCAACTAAAATCAACATTGAAAATAAATGCCCCGCCCCCCTCACCCCCAAGGTCTATGAAGAAAAAGGAAATAGCCTCTCTTTACCCAACCAGGTTTCCTGGGTCTTCAAAGCAAGAAAGTGTGGTGGAAAGAAGTGAAACTAAGATAAGGGAAAAATAAAAGAGAAACTCTGATCTTTAATTCTCGTGGCGTGCAATCAATCCCCACTCAGCATCATTCACACACTGCTCTCTAATGCCAGCTCTCTGGGGTCATGCCTAACTCCTAAGTGAAGACGGGGCTGTGGAGAGCAGAGGTCTGTCTAACCCTTGTCTGTCTCTCCTTAAGTGCTTAATAACAATACTGGCCGTGTCCAGGCCTTTACCTAGAACTTTTAACATATTTTCTCATTTAGGCCCTCAATAAATAATGGTTGGTTGAAAATGAGCAAGGAGATCTCTAGAATGAAAGAAAATAGTAGTTAAAAAAAAAAGATAGGGTACTTGCCATTTGAGGCTGTCAGCTAGGAAACACTGTAAGGTAAGCAGGAGAATTTACACATCCCAGCAGAGGAGGAAGGTTGGGCCAGAAACAAGGAAAGGGGCCTAAGTCCAGGTGGAACACATGTTGGCATATTTAGAGTGGGCTGTCCTACTTTTTTAATGCAAGGGCATAAATATACATAACAAAAATCCATCATACTTCTTGCAATGAGGTGTGAATTTCAAAGCTTCATTGGGGCCTTTTAAATGATAGGAGTTATTGCTCCAACAAATCTCAAATAAAGCCAAGTACTTTTTATTAACCCCTGACGGCACGCTTTGGACTGGAACACAGTACACAGGATCTCTCCAGGGCTGCTCTCCTCAAGAACCTTCTTCCTCCTCTACAACATCTTGGCCTGCCCCTCCACAACTGCTCTATTATATAATTTCCTATTTCACTCCCGTTCCAATAGCATTTATTTTCCATATCATTCTTTTGGGCTCTTGGTCAATACTTTACTGAATTATTAGCTGTTTCTTAGCCTGTTCTCTCCAACTGTAAAGTAAGCTTTGGATGGTAAAGGTTATGATTTATTTTCCTCTCATATCCCTTAAAACCTTCTATATTCTAAGAAATATTTTTTAATGTAGGTGTATGCATACAGGGATACATGAATGAATAAGTAAATTAGGGATCAGAAACTCTGTGTAATAACTGGTTCATTTTTGATACATTAAAAATAAATATAATGAGCATTAAGCAATGTTGACATTAAATCGGAAACATAACTTGAATACCATTCTGTGGTTATAAAACTGTCCAACTCTCTTTAAAGAGTGTTCAAAGCTCTTCCCAGGCATAGGTATATCACTTGACCTCACGTGTCACACAGGGGCCCTCAAATGACAGTTGCCACTAATGAACACACAGATGCCTCTGTTTGGCCACCGGTGTTGTCCCCAGTTTCCTTGGAGCTGTACCTGTGTTTAGGTCTACATTGGGGAGCCACGGGGAGAAGAAATGAAGGAGAAAGAGGACCAGGTCAGAAATGTATGACCTACAGGTAGGTTAGGAAGCCAGACCAAGGTAAGGAAGCACTTGGCCCGGGAGAGGGAAGAGAGATGGCCGGGAGTCTGGGAGAACAGGGCTCACCACTACACAAGGACTTCCCAGGTATACAAATTTTTATCATCTTTTCTTTACCATATACATCTTGAATATTTATTATGTAAATTTTACCTCTCCAGGCATTTAAGGAATTGTCATTGGTTTCAGATAAGTATTTTCATTTTTCAACTAAAGGGAAAGCAAATGAAGAATAAGAACTTTGTGTCCTTTTTTGTCCTTCCTAGTACATAGCATGGTTCTTCAGAGGCAATGTGCTCAACGAATAAATTACCAGCATCATCTCAAAGCAGGCAACATGATGGAGCAGAAACACTATGTAAACAGTATCCCAAATCAATCTTAGTCTAATGCAGACCATTACTTTGCATTTTCTGCATTGAGATTTTAAGGGATTTTACATCAATTTTCTTCATTTTCCTGAATTTGTCTCCTCACATTAAAATGATCAGGTATCTATCACTAAATTAGTTTTACTTTTCATTTCATTAGATAA